ATCGGTATAGGACATGTAGTCTAGCTGTGTTGGTAGGTGACAGCAGCCATGTAAATTCAAGACACCAATAATCGCAACATAAGCTTTCACATCACCGTTGCTTTTGGTCCGGGTAGCTACCCCCGTACTTCGATTGCTTGTTCCGACGCCTGTGACGCACGCTCCTGCTGTTTTTCTGTCGGATTTCGGAAAGGACCCGAGCCGCACCTCCATCAGGGTCCAAAAAGCATTCCGCATCCGCATCCGCATCACCATTCACGTCGTATCGAAATCTACCGCATTTCTAAACAGTAGCTTTAAGCGAGTACGCCGCTGACATAAGACGTACCCCTGGCATTCGCTCACAGCAGATCGACGCGCTACGGAAAGCCAAGGGCTCCACTCCACCGGTCGGAAATTGCTTGGGACGTCGAGCCAGCGAGACCTGACTTGCGGCGAGCCTCGGGAAAGCCAGAGAAAGGAGAAGCAACGCATCCGCTTTTATATCTCAGCCGCTTTATATCTTCTGCTGCAGGCTCTTCTTCGGAGCTTCTTCTACGTCGTCTAGGAGGTGTTTTGTTTCTCCTTGACAACAGACAAGGTATTGCGACTACCGACCCGTCTTCCGCGTTCCGCTTCTCCTCAACCTCACAATGACGGAACCGTTTCCTCCCCTCAACGGCGCACTGCCACACAATACAGCAACGCACGGCGCAGCCAGACGGAGAAGAAAGTCTAGTGCGCTGGGTTCCGATGTGCCTGGCGATGTCGACGTCCCAGCGTTGGCAACACACCGCACGAGCACCCCGCCGCTGAACAGTCCAACGAGCATGGACTCGGTGAGTGCTTTTTTGACCCTCATCCAGGGTATGCAGGGCACGCGCTGACAAGACCCTGTAGAAACCAGAGAAATCCGCCCGCCGCTCCAAACGACGAACAACACGCCGCTACCTCTCCAAGTTCAAGCGCCAATGCATCCGCCATACCTGGCTGCTCCCGCTCATCCTCGGCCTTACAATCGTGTTCCTCTACCTCGTCTACCCGTACGAGTCAAATCCGCTGTCCGCCTGCCTCTTCCTGTCATACCCGCTCGCACGCGACGACCCGCTCATCCCCGCCCACGTCCGCGCGGATCCCAATGGCCCAGTTCACTACGGCAAGGGCGGGCGCGACTTTGCTTTCGTCGGTTTCTACATCATCGTGCTGAGCTTCACGCGCGAGTTCTGCATGCAGCGACTCATTCGCCCGATTGCGGTAAAGCTTGGGATCAAGAACAGGGATAAACAGAGCAGGTTCATGGAGCAGGCGTACACGGCGCTGTACTTTGCGCTGTACGGACCGTTTGGCATCTGGATCATGAGTCGCACGCCGGTGTGGTACTTCAATCCTATTGGGATGTATGAGGGTTTCCCGCATCGCACGCACGAGGCCGTTGTCAAGGCGTACTATCTCCTTCAAGCGAGTTACTGGGCGCAGCAGGCGATTGTGCTGTTGCTCATGCTGGAGAAGCCGCGGAAGGACTTTAAGGAGCTGGTTGCGCATCATGTTATTACTGTCAGCTTGATCTGGTTGAGCTACCGGTTTCATTTTACGTACATGGGGATTGCGGTGTACATCACGCATGATGTGTCGGATTTCTTCTTGGCTGTAAGTCGAAATTCTTCCCAACATAAAGATTCGTTCACTAACTTGCCCAGACATCCAAGTGCCTGAACTACATCGACTCCCCCATCGTCGGCCCCTACTTCTTCGTCTTCATGGTCATCTGGGGCTACACACGCCACTACATCAACCTCAAAATCATCTGGTCCATCCTCACTACGTTCAAAACCGTCGGTCCGTTCGAGCTCAACTGGGAAACGCAACAGTACAAGTGCTGGATCTCGCAATACATCACCTTCGCCCTCCTCGCATCGCTGCAGGCCGTCAACCTCTTCTGGTGGTTCTTCATCTGCAGGATCGCATACCGCTTTGTCGTGTACAAGGACGCGGATGATGACCGTAGCGAGTATGCGCCGACGGACGAGGAGACGGAGGAGAAGGAGAAGTTGATCAAGGAGGATGTGGAGGTCGAGAAGGATATGGAGCGGATCGAGGAGGCGCCGAGTACGCCGGCGAGTGGTGCGGGTTTGCAAGCGAGTGGAAGTGATAGCATTGGGTCGAGGGTTAAGCAACGGAAGGGCGGGAAGTCATGATGAGGGGTGAGGGGATGTCGTAATGAGAAGGACGGTGGGGTTTGGGTTGGGATAGGAAATGGGGTTTAGAGGGGGACTTGTTCCCTGGATTGTTGAGTGCTGGATAGGTATTTTGACTGCCGAAGCATTGGGCGGAGTTTGTGTATAGGTATGCTTTCTCCAATGCGCATGCGAGAAAGCAGCTAATGAGTATGTCAGATATTAATTCACTCCATAGAACATTAGTCCACAGGCGCGCCTTCCTCCATGGTGTCTGTGCTTCCCTTGATGACGTCTGCCGGCGTGCGAACACCCCGAGCGGCATCCTCGCACACGCACAGCGCACCCTCGCTATCTATCTATCGCCGTTGTCGCATTCAGATCAGCGACACGATTGGGTTTGCGCATTACACTGACATCAAACAGTCTTGCTGGCTATTGTTGCACTTCACTCTTATTAATGACTCTTTAGGCACGCGTGGACTTTGAGCGGCTTCTTCATCCCGACACCCTCGAGAGTCATCTATCACCGTTGCTGCATTCGTGTCTTTCATGAAACATCACAGTCATTTGCTGATAACGAGCAGTTGCGATGGTCATGGCGGTGCTGCCTTCTTATCGATGACGTCTGCAGGTCCGCGCACTTTGAGCCGCTTCTTCGCAGAGCACACCCCCGAGAATTACTTCCCGCCAATGGCTATCACACTCATAACAGCCACAATATTTGCGCATTACCTGCTCACATCGCCTCCGTCCCTGATGGCAATCGCTGTGTGGTGGTCCGCATGCAGGCTAGCGCGGTCGGGGAGTCATCTTCGTTCCACGGATAGCTCTGTGGTTGCATCCAGTTATCACCTCGGCTTTTGCACTGATGGTATCGCATCCGCATTATTCTTGATCGATGCGCACAATCGCGGTGCAGTGAGACGCCTACAATGGTTTGTTGTATCGAGGTTTGCGCGCTTTGGGTGAGATGTCGTCTCCTCGCAGGCTCAAGACGGTTTGATCTACCCACGAAACCACGCTTCAGTGAGGCGCCTACAATGGTCTATTGTGTCCAGTTGTGCGCGCATCGGGTTTGATGTCTCCTTCCCGCAACCTCAAGGCGTCATATATTTTCTTTATCTATGCGCCAAATCACGCTTCAGCGAGGTGCCTACGTTGGCTCGTTGTGTTTAGTTATGCGCGCATTGGGTGGGATGTCTTCTCGTTGCAGCCTCAAAACATCACCAATATCCCGCACATCAAGGTAGATCTTTAATGATCAGGGGGAGGTAAGGCCGTACCCCAGTCTGAGTCGAACACATATTTCCTCCTCTGTTGTTGGTTCTCACTCATACCACTGCGCCGATTTGGACCTCTCATGAATCTCCGGTTGTGCCGCAGAGTGACTCATGGAGCGAACCATGGTTGCGCCAACCAGCTTGACACTTGGACTAAAAGTTGTCTTTCGTGCTTTGTGGCTACAATATAAGAAAGGTAATCCCCTGTACGCTTAGAGCTCATCAAGATGGCTACATCAACTCCCACGAGCGACGATCGGCTGCCGTCAACCCTGTTTACCGTATACCAGACGTATAAGCGTGGAACCTCCGTGGTATTGGAATGGCTTACTACGTTTGACCAGATCTCTCCTGGCAAGTCCAGGACTATTGACCAACCGCTGGCATCCACAGCAACCGCTCCTCAAGCAGCACCAAGTCCTGTCACCGTCAAGCAGCTATTGGAAAAAGCGAGAAAAGCGTCGAAGAACAAACGTGTTCCTCCACCAGCGGTTCATGACGCGTTCAAAGTCGTTCTCGTCAACCGTAACAAGCTCACCAAGTATTACGATCGTCTCCCTACAGCGTCGGCCGATACCATCGCGGCAACAACGCGACACAAAGTCTTCAATGAAACCCTCGCCCAGGCGTATACCATTCTCTTCGCTTCGCAGATATCGAAACTCGGATCGACAAAGCAGACTACCAGTGCTTCGCATGCGACTGCCACTTCCAACGCATTCGAGGTGCTAGCTCATGTTGTCGAGACGGAACCTGAGTTCGAGAGCTGCGCATCAGATTTCTGGCAAACCGAGGCTCCCATACCCACGACGACATCCAGGATTACCGACGATTCCGTTGGTGACGCCATAGCGATGCATACCTACGTGCTAGAGCTACAAAACACAGTCGAGACTATCAAGACCATCTGGAAATCTGCTGCTAATGGCGAAATGCCCCTAGCTGCAGCTGGATTTCTCACGAATGTGGTCCATAGTTACTTGTTCAAATGGATAGCTGCCCACTCGCCCTACCATGACAACAATGACGGGATACTATATCGCTTCTTCAGTACTGAAGACGGGCGATCAGTTGCAAAAGAGGGATATGTACATAGCTGGTTGGAGGATGTCGATGCATGGAGGAGGTCGAGCGAGGGAGAGGGCTTTCAAGAACTCACTCACGGCTATGGTCTCCTCTGGCCAATCAACGAGATACGCCGGTTCGAGGCGATGGTAAAAGCTGGAGACGATTCACTGACCACCGCTGAACGCTGCAAATTCGAGGACTACTTCAAAACTCAACGCGATCAGCGCGTATTGAAAAGCGAGCTTATCGACTCAGTTCTAGATTGTGTTTCCACCAGCGAGACCAGAACTAGAGATGAACACTACCAGCATATGCACCAAATCATCGACAAACGTTACGAACACGATCGGGGCTTAGTGATGTCGATGTGTCGAAGCATATATCGGCATCCAATATGGAACGGCCCCATGGACTTTAGCCCAAATGCTGACACAGACTGGTTTGATTACACGTTCAAAGAGGAATATCTTCAATTTCCTTTAGGTGTTCCTCTGTTATGGGGTCTGAAGGCATGCCTAGAACCAGACTCAGTGTCGCAAACCACTCTAGTTATCGGCGCGCACACCTTCGTAGAAAGCTGTCGAAGCTTCATCTCGCAACATCCAAGCGATGCTTCACACCGCACAAACAACAGAATCAAGGTCCTGTCTTTCGCACGCAACAGCCGAATCGCATTGCAAAAGCTACTGGAAAACAAATCGGATCCAGTGAAAGCCCTCCAATTGGAATCAGCGTGGGCCGATAATGTCAGGAGTACCACCAAACAACTCGACAAGTTTACCTCTGAGAAGGTATTCGATTTGTATTCTCAATCGCCTTGGGTGACTGGAAGCTACATGGCGACAATCGCGGCACGCAACATGATGCTCGGCCTCGGATTGATCAGTGCGCATGGATACGTCTCTGATCTGCTGCATTTGTACAACATGTTGCAGAAGCTCAGGGTTCCATGTCCTCAGATACCTTTGTTGGAACATCTTTGTGATATTCTTGGACCGGCCGTCTTCCCACATATGCAGGGAAGACCTACAAACGACTTCGACAACATGGCTCGTATTGCCAAACGTGACCCTCTGTGCAGCAAGAATAGAAAGTGGATGCTTGCTGGCAAAAGGCTAAAAGAGAAAGCAATGGGGACGGATGATGCAGGAATGAACATGGTGAAGCTCTCAGACTTTGCATCCCAGACGCTAGCGCAACAGTGCATTGTCGAAGAGCGTTTACTAGCCAAAATACTGGACGAAAGGCTGCTGGCAAAAAAGCACAATGTGATGCCCAACATGATAGCTCGCTTCACGCCATCCGATGTTCTCCTGCGCGCAAAAGACCACTTCATGCCGGAGTTCGACGGTCCATGTCCCCTAGCAAAGGTCAACTACTTTGCCGTCATGGACCTAGTGCTCGACGTCTGGAAGGAAGTTGCGTTCCAACTCGCCAAACCCGACGGGGTGCCAGAGAGCGTGGGAGAATTCGTGGCGATAGCCAAAGCGCGTGGAGCCACGGGTCCCAGCTCCAACTTCCATTCGAACACACTGGAAGCAGCGATTGGTTTTCTAGGGGTTGTCAGGTACAACATCGATCACTTCGAAGGCAAACGTACGGATGCGTCTCGGTGGAAATCGTTACAGCAAAACGATGGCTTGCTCTTACTGCGCGACGCGGTTGTCAAGATTTGCGGAGATGTCAAGTTGGAGGATTTTCTATGGATGGATATGTAAGACTTGGCCCTAGTAGCCGTGGCAAGTAGTTCAGTGTTAGCTTGCAAGATCAAATGAGCTTATCAGAATAATGCCGCCTCTTCCATTGTGTACCTGCTCACTCGAATCTTTGCGCGCAGTCCCAGTCAGATGTCAATATCGTGCGCACGTTCGGTGTTGCCTGAGAGAGACGTTCTCAAACCACATTCACCGAGTCGTTGTTGCGTTCAATCTCGCACGACTAGGCGATGCCAGTCTTCGGATGGTGGTTCGATGGCTGTCGCCCGGGCTCTGTCGGCGAGGCAATGGCATAGCGGGAGCGCCACGATCGATGAGCGAGTAAGGGTCACGGTGATCGAATAAGCCAGTCAACACCAATGCATTGTGCGCGCTTGAAGCTGTAGTCGTGCGTGGGTGAAGCCTTGAAGCTCCGCGCAAGCTCCGCTACTTGTTTGGACTTCTTTCGTGATGGCGTCCGTGCCTGTGCGCCCCTGATTGATTGGCTGACGGGGTCGTGGCGTCATCTGGTCTTCCTTGGGCTAGCGCCCGACGCGTTCAGTCCTGAGGTCGCGTCGCTGCCTGCTTTCCTCAATCGCGAATGTGTCCTCACGCAAAGCCATGGCTCATCTGAACGCATCGCGATACCACCTGCATCATTCGCTCGGTCGGGGCCCGGATAGCAATACTTGTGAGGACTGCTTGGCTCCGCCCGTCCATACCTACCACTTCGAATGCAGCGCTGCACCCACTGCTTACGACAGCAGCAAACTGTTCAACTGCCGACCGCTCTACAAAATGGAAGCGCATGGAAAGCACAACGATACTGTATCGAGCAGTGCATTTTTCATCTTGTGCGCCTGGAGCTTAGTTTGTGAATCAGGCAGCAACATTACCGTACCACGGGTGCGATCTTTGATACTTTGGTAACATGTGTTTCCAACGGCCTATCGCGCATCTCAAAAGCCACATATACCGCCAAAATTAACCATGCCGTGGCCTGAACAAGTTTCTTCTACTCTCCCACCCGAGGCAAAACTCCTTCCTCTGCCCCTTGACATGATCGCAGCATAAAATATAGTAGAACGCCCTACATTCGCAATCCGCTTACACTCAAGCATCGGACCATTACCGCATCGCAACGCATCAAATCACACCCCACGCCGCCTTACGATGGCGACGTCTTCCGCCACGAACACGCCTGGACCACTCCCCCCAACTCTGTTCAACATCTACCGAACGTACAAACACGAGACCTCCATCGTCATCGGCTGGCTCTTCTCCTTCGACAAGGCAGCAGATTCAAACTCTATTCCAAACTCAAAGCACGATGGGAATCCAGCACAGCAAGAAATGACTGTACGTCAGATCGCGGATCGCGCTCGTCAGGCCGCGATCATGGGAAAGAGGCCACCAAAAGGTATCGAGACAGCGTTCAAGATGGTCATATTGAATCGAAACTGAATGACCAAGCATTACGAGACGCTGCCATCATCGACGCAAGGAGTTCAAGATTCGACTGAACGTCATCGAATCTTCAACGAGACGCTGGCTGAGGCGTACGGGCTACTGTTCCCAAAGAAGAAGCGGGCTAGAAAGAATAACAAGAGTGCCCCAAAGAAACTGCCCGACCCATCAACCACGACTTCGGTCAATACGTTCGAAGCTCTCGCCGAGTTGATAGAGCAAGAAGAGGAATCGACCATATCCGCATCCCATTATTAGGGTAAGGATGTACTTGAGCGAACTGCGAAACGCTCCGCCATCGCAGAAGATCCGATCGAAAGCTCCATCGCTCGACAAGCGTACTTGGCCGAAATCCAAGCCATTGTCAAAACTGTAAAGACAATATGGACGTCGTTCGCGACGGGCGGTATATCATTGACAGCGGCTGGCTGGCTGACGAACCTGGCACAAAGTCTTGTCAGGTCTCTGAGCCCCGATAAGGCCGTGCCTACCTCGTTCGAAGAAGTCCTGTTTTGCAACATTCTTCCCGATGAAGACGAAGATTGTGGAGATCTCACCAAATGCGGTGGCATGCGCGCTGGAGTAACCGTGGATGAGTTGGCATCGATCGACTTCAGCAAGATTGCTACATCTCCATCGTTTGCCGAGCTGATACACGGAGGTGGTTTAGTCTGGCCTCTTGAGCTCGTACACGACTTCCGTGCAGGGAAAGCACTTCCTCAATCCACTGAGACGGAGCGTCGTCGTTTCGAAAGCTTCTTTAGGACTGCATGCGAAGAAAACAAAGCTAAGGAAGCATTCGCGGCCTCAGTTACACAACATGCGAAGGACAGATCCCAGCTGACGGATGGAGAATCTTTATTCCAGGTTGCGACCATCTGCACCAATCGTTATGCCCACGACAGGCTCCTGGTCGCAACCATGATCAAGAGTACGTCACGGCATCCCGCGTACGAAAAATACCAGCCAAGAACAGCAATCGACGAAGCAAATCTTAGCTTGGCGTCTCTCGCCACGGAGCATATACAACATCCCTCGACAATTCCTCTGCTCCGCGATCTCAAGGGTGAAGGTATACCCATACCAGCCGTGATAGCAGCACATATTCTTCTCGAGAGTGGGCGTAGCTTCCTTCACGAATGCGAGAAGACGGGACGAGCCCCGCCCAACTGTCGGATAATGATGTTAAGCCACGCCAACGAAGTTCGTAGCGCCATAACTCATTTAGTCCATAAAGATAGGCCCGTTGTAGCGTATGGGAAGACGAATGCAACCATGCTCAAGGTAATGATATTGAAGCTGGATGTACTCCTCTCCGACAAGGTGTTTGATCTTTACTCTCAGTCCCCTTGGGTCACAGGAAGCCAGATGGCTGCTATATCCGATTGGTCGCTTTTTGTCGGCCTCGAGTTACTCAGTGAGGGTGACTGCTTCGGTGCTGTCATACATATATACAACATGTTGCAGCAGCTTGACGTCGAGTGCAAACGAATACCGATACTGGAACATCTACAAACTCTCTTCAAGTCGAAGGTTTTTGCTGGAAGGAGTGAGCCACAGAGGAGCTTTTCGAGCATATTCGAGCTGTTCTGTGGTGGAGCAAAGATCCTCCAGGCTCAGGGTGTCAGGCTACTCCATCGATCAAAACCCAAGGAAACCTGCGTCAGTTCAAAGTTCTCCAAGATTAGTCTAGCTGAGATGCACTCCTCAACGACGCAAAGCTTCTTCCATCTCTATATGCCCAGTGCAAAATTCTGGACTCGACTCACAGACAACCCCAGAATCGTCCAAAGATACACTACGCATGAGAACCTCTTTGCTCAATTTCCCCCTTCCGATACCATTCGCCGTGCGGAAGAGATCATTCGGCCTGAGTACGAAGGCGCCTTTCCAATAGCCCGACTGAACTGCTTTGCAGTTCTTCGTCTTTGTCAGGACATCATGCTCGCAATCGCGGCGCGCTTCCAAGTACTCGGTACGGCAGCATGGCCGCCAGGCATGGAAGACATTGGTTCACCGTCGGTGCTCCATATCCCATCTGGCATCGAGCCGTATGTCAAGATTGAGGTTGCTGTCAAATGTGTTCGAATTACTATGATACTGATCGACGGCCTTCTCGATGGTTACGCTTTGACGAGGAAGAGAAGTGACGTTGGCTACAGCAAGATGTGGAAAGAACATCCCGACGCTATGCGACCAGTGGTTGTAATGCGAGACACGATCGCGGAGGTGTGCGAAGGCAAGAAAGTCGAAGATTTCCTGTGGAAGAGTATGTGAGCGGTGGGTTGGTGGGTTTATCTGAGATGGTGTTGGAAGCAGGTCGTATGTTTCCTAACTGTAGCCAGCTTATTCGCAATGGTGCTGGCTAAGTCTCCATGCGCGAGCATTCGTAGAGCACAATGATGACTTCCATCACAAATTGACAGGACGCATACCCGTTCGCATCCGTGAGATTCTTCGTATGTGTACTAGTGAATGCGTCGAAGACGGCAAGGCGACAACGGAACATTACCATGCACACTACTCGAAAGACCGCGATCCGGAAATCTTGTTGAGTTGTTGTTGAGACTGGGGGTGGCGAGGGCAGGTTAATTCTCGGTAGATTCGTCTAGAAGGCCGGGGATGCGCCGCAATGCCGATCTCAAAGCAGGGTCTTTTGCGGCTCTTTGCGAGATAGAGCCGGAAGGAACTCGAAGAGCCTCATCATCAACAGCATTCAATTGCAGTACATATAATGCATCATCTTCAACACTTATCGCCATGAGCTCAGGGCGCGTGATGCAAGGGCCGTGACTTCCTCCAAAAGTGACATTACCCCAGACTCTCGCTTTGCTATTTCCGCACCCGACCCACTCACGTGCTGGCGGCCAAGCCTATCTCGACCTGGCACATCCCTGCACGGATCGCTCACCGCCCCTAAATTTTCTGCTCGCGCCATCTCCGGCCTCGCCTCCTTTCCCTTCAGCCCTGTCAACTTCTTCCCCAGGCCCACTTTCTTTATATAAACCGTGTTCCGTGTCTGTGTCCTCTTTCCCCGGATTCACTCGAAACCACGCACGTTCACTTTCTACGTATTCAAGAGGGTTTACTACTACGACTGCAATCGTTTGTTTATACGTGTCATCACAGAGATTACTTACGTCGCCACTTGTCGCTACATAAACTTGGTTTCCTCGATAATACATCCTCAAACCTCAACTACCTAAATCAACAACATGTTCGCACGCATCGTCACCCGCGTCCCCATAACCGCTGCCTTCGCCGGCAAGCGCATCGCACCCGCCACCATCCGCGCCAACTCCTCCAGCTCAACAAGCAGCGCAGCCCGCGTCATGGAGATGGCTGCGCAGGCCGAGCGCCCAAGTACGTCATGAAAAGAAAGCATCCAAAATGAAGTAACCGTACTAACGTGTCTTTCAGCTGGCGCCGAAGCCGCCGTCCCCGTCATGTGGGCCGCCTGCGGTGTCCTTACCTACGCCGCGTGGAACCGCATGAGCGAGCGCAGCGCGGGCGAGAACGTTGAGAAACTGCTCATCGTTTAGACGATGACGACTACGATTACAATACTTCTGCGATACCCCCGACACCTTCTTCCTCTTCTTCGTCGACGAGCGATCGGTCCGACGATGACGGTCATTACCTATACATGCGAGTGCTGTTTGGCATAGACGTATAGACCGCGTGTAACATCGCATGGCATTTGCGTGCGCGTGTTTGGTTTGCGGCATATAGATCGTGTCTTCTTTTCTTTTGGTTGGGTTGGATACTGGAATGGCATGGATATGTCTGGGTTGACTTTTGGGGCCGCGGCCAGGGACTTGGATAACGGTCGACGGCGTTCGACTTTTCGCATCAATGCTATCTAGGCTTCAAGGCCATTTCTTCACATCATTCTTCGCCAGGCGATTTTTGGAATCGCGCATCTCCATATATGACGATGCAAGCTTTACCACAGTCAAGCATGACGTTTTCGAATCTGTCTATTGAACATTCTACCGGGAGGCGCACCGCCCTTCTCTACACCGGGTTGATTTTTGTTCGCACACCATAGGATGACAAAATACTTCGATTACCGCCTACATACACGCCATTACGCGTAGGTATGCATCTTGTGTTCTGGTTCAGAGGTTACATTGCTACGTATACTCTCCTTCAGTCAAGGACAATATACCGCGTATGAAGCAAAAGCGACCTCGAAAACGCCTTCACAAGGACGCTGGTCACTTTGTCGACTCCCACATCCCTGATATTGTTAGTTCCATCAACGTGCGTGAGATTGTAGCCGTCAGCATAAACTATGGGTTCCTTGCAACATGGGGTTTCTAGTGGTCGCGCGAAATCTCCACGTGCATGCTTCGCTCAGGGCTATATGGGTAGACTATGTGCTATCTGGTAGTATCGTTCAGGACTGACGGCATAAGTTATTAGATATTCTGTGGGATTGGACAGCCCTTATGCGATCGTCAATCTCCGTGTCATGATGCTTCCCAGCGAGCTAGTTTGGAAGGAGGTCGTCGCTCATCGTGACGGTCCTCAAATCACCGTCGGACGTTACTGGTGCACCCATCCAGCAGTGTCGTGAAGTCGCGATCTTGGGAAGTCTCCACGCGAAGATCAACGCTAATCTCGAAACGCCCATTAGCGGCTTGGTCGCTTACTACGTCACAGCCTTGACCTCCCACGTGTCACCCCACCTCCAGCTTATCAATCACTCCAACCAGCCGGACCGACTATCTTCGGGGCATCGACTACCACCATGTCCACATCAAAGCCATTTCCAGCGCTAAATGGCGGCTGCGTTTGCAACACGATCCGCTATAGGCTCCTTACAGCCCCACTCTACTGCTATGCCTGCCACTGCATGGACTGCCAAAAGCAGACCGGCAGCGCCTTCTACCTCAGCCTGAACATCGAACTCTACAACATCCAAATCCTATCTCCTACGAAGCCTCTGTTTCTCAGTCGAGAGATCAAACCAGGCCTTGTCGACCGCTATGCCGAGTGTCCGCGATGCCACGTTCAGCTTTGGGCTAGCAATCACCTCGGCGATGCGGTTGCGGAACTGAGAGTTGGTACGCTCGACTTTCCTTCGCTTATGGAACCTGATATACACATTCACGTGGAGAGTAAGCTGGACTGGGTGACTTTGCCGGAAGGCGCGAAGACGGCGCAAAGAAGCCATGATTACAAGAAGTCGTGGCCCAAGAGCAGTCTGAAGAGGCTAGAAATTTGCCTAAAGAGAGCGGAAGAAGTGAAAAGAAGGAGGGCTGCTGCGATGAAGGAGAGTGCCCATGGAACGAGTGAAGACGAGGTGACTAAAGATGGGGTCGTGGCTGTGGAGGGAAGTGGGGAGGGTGACAAGACGCCAACCGCGGGTGATGTGGGGGGCGACGAAGATGACGAGGCTGAGGAGCAGAGGTTCAGAGAGACTGAGAAGGCGTTGCTTGAGCGGCTGGAGCGGTTGAGCTTGAAACTGCAGAATGAGGAAGGAACGAAAAAGGTGGTAGAGACGTGCCTTGAGGACGCGAACAAGACCTCATAACACGGTGCATTGAGTACATCATGCGCGGTTTACTTTGTTAGGCGGTTTCACAAGTGTAGCACATATGTACAGTACTTACGCCAATGCGCCCTTTCTCCGCCCCTGTAGTGCTTGCCTCAGTCGAGAAGCACGTGCGCTTACGTCATAGTCACACCGTGTGCGAGCCCTGTAAATCGTCGCACGCCTATAAACACTTAAAGCGTTCCCGAAATTTGACAATAACAGAGGTTGACCAGGAGATTTTCGTGCAGCTAAGGGTGTTTTCTGGCTTGGTAGTAGAGACAAAGTTCCGTGGTCACTTAAGATGAGTTGCACGATAGGAAGGAATGTTGCGTCCCAGATACGAGACCGGGCGACGACAACAGGTCCTAACCATAGCGAACTGTAGGTCACAGGTAAATATTACAACTACGTCGAGCCAGAGACCCTACAACCTCAAGGCTATAGAATAATGTGCCTAATACATAGCCATTCGTCTTACTTCTCTATCCTCACGACTTCCGCTGTAGGCCGCAGAGACAGGGAAAATAGAATTTATTAAGCACATAGGATAAGAGCGCTTCATTAACTAACTCCTACGTTGTGTCGTAAAATCGGTAAGTAAAGGAATGTAGAGGCCAACATCTATAATCCGCACGGCCTTAAATGAAGAAAGAGCACGCCTTTAACTCCGACTAGGGCACGGCCTTGCTCCGCGATATATACCCAACGACCCCTCCCCCGATTCATCAGCCATTCCTCAACGCCTGTCGCAACCTACCCCAACACCAGATCGAGAAAATGCAGCACTCCACCGTACTGCTCCTCTTCTTATTCGGCCTCCTAGCGTCCCTAGGCCAGGTATGCAGTGCCCAAAATAGGGGTATTGAGATCACCCCCATATTCAAGGGCGTGGCATGGGATGCCAAGAAAGAGCACGTCGTGCGTCAAGCGCTTGCAGATGCGGTGCGTAAATCCCCAGTATCAATTACATGTGAGCTATTGACTAATCCTGCAACCCCAATTCTAGGTACTCCTCGCCAATGCGGCTTTTGACGACAGCGATAATCTCCTTTCGAAAACTGGCAGCAACAACAAAGTCATAAACTTCGAGTCTGAAGCCGCAATCGAATATTGGGGTCCGCCCAGCAAGACCCTTGGACTTAGACAGCGCATTTACGATACCTACTATCGCGCCACTCAGAAGTCAAGGGGAAGTGGATGGGTTGATTGGTGGAACGGGCGATACATCGAAATGTACCGCGATGAAAAAGGGGCCCAATGTAAGGGAGTTGATACTGCATACTGGTGGCCTCCAACACAGGGCGATAGTAGCAGAAAATACGACGCCATCATTTGGTGTGACCCATTCTTCACCGTCCTCGATGATCACACAACGGTAGAGAAGCGGATACTGGCGGATACGACTGGCAAGTTTAAGCTCAATACAAGGAATATGCGAAGCACAGGTAGGTTATCTCTGGAAATTCTTCCCATATTACACACGCTGACTTTCGAATGTAGCAACCACCGCTCTCCATCAACTGCTGCATATCGGGCTCTCGAATGTGGAGATCTGCCAAGGCGGATGTGAGTGTGCTGCGTAAAATCATCAGATTCTAGGTGAGACTGACATGATCCAGGCCGCGACTCCACGCAAATGATCGGCGATACCACGCCCATCCCGTCGTATAAGACCGGTCTTGCGAAGCTTCTAGCGGCGAGGGACGTCCAAAGCGCTGCACAAAACAACGATAACTACGTTTATTTCGCTGTCGCACGGTACATGCAAAAGAAGTTTGGGGTATACCCACCCTATCCACGCATGTGGAGTGTGAGTAGAACGAAAAAAGAGAATTGGGCGATTGAAGACATGGAACCGGGAGCCCCTGGCCGCATTTATTTGGTGCTTGACTGGAAAGAAGATTCTCATTACGACCGCTTTAGCGAAAAGACAGTCTCGGATGCGCCTTACATGATGTCAATCTACCCAGAATGGTACCCGCCCATCAGCTGGCCGGTGGACGGATCGGCAATCCCGTCTGCAGTGGGCAAACTCGCCTTCTCCCACCCCAACATAGACGACGTTGTATGCCAGACGACCACCGAGTCCGCAAACTACAGCGATTGTGTATCCGCCTTTGCAACGCTAGAAGGTCTCGGCCAAAATGCGGTGAAGGCCCACATCGGCGATAGGTGGTGGGCGAGCGTGGCCTCGACATGTGCGGTTCAAGTCCACTATAAGGGCGACTGGTCGAAGTGTGAGGCTACGCTCTCGGATATCTGGGCCCACGCCAAAGATGTTTTCGAGGGGTGCCGTGGCGCCGGAACGATGGGTGGTTACGTTCCGTTTGGTGTGCCGAATTGTCCTGCGACGATCGATATCGTGTCTAGTAGTCAGTGGAGCAACCCAAATCAGGTTTAGACGGTCATAGAGCGGGTCGAAGGTACTGGCAGGACGGTCATGGCGTCGGGATAACCGATGGTCATATACATAGTCGCGAATGTAGGAACGGATTGTCGCAGAGAAGATGTTGATGGTACGCGTGTGGTTCCTGGAAGATGAGGAAGGTGGCTGCCCGACGTCATAGGGGCTCGCGCTTTCCAAATGCTTGGCGCTAGCGCCGCAACGCCAACGGCTGGGCAGGGCCGACCTCATCAACACTCGCGTCATCCTTCTGACTTGCGCCTACACGCCGTCCCTGCTCACGCCCATTCTCGATCTTCCCACCAGAATGACTGTAGTATGCCTCTCACTGTTGCGCTCGATGACGCGCGCCTCGATCGAATAACGCGCGCTTGCCAGTACAGCCATGACCGGTACGTCTGACGAAGGCGGGCCCGTGTCATGATCAAGCCGTGCGAACCTGTCGCGTCCAAGCAGGAATGCTACAATCATTGACTCATTATCGCGCGCGGTATAAGCCCTGGACACGTATCTGCGCGACGCGCTGAAGCTGCAGCTGGACCGGCCACTACAATTCACACGGCGAGATTATCTGCTTTCTGATCACCTACACGACCCTAGGCCGGCGAGAGCCTTTGACGATGGCGACCAGACTCCTCGATTTAGATGTCATGTTGCGATAGGCAGTCCTCTCTGGCGATTACGAGGACACTAGGCCGACTCAAATCTTGTTGTGAATCACGAGTGTTACTGATGATTTTAGTTCCCAGTCATTCATATTCGCGGTCACACTTCGTACTATGAATTACGACGTATGCTTCTATCACTGATGCTAATAGCTCTGCTTCTTCCTACCATAGTTCCTTGCCATCGTGGAATCACTTACAAACGGCGATAAGCAGCATCTTCACTCTCGAAACCAGCTACAACGTTGCAAAGTCGCTAACAGCTATTGGATATACATACAGACATGAACAGCGGAACACCGATGCCAGCACCCCACGCAGATCTCGCGCATCCTCCTTGGGCAAACTTTCTGCGGTGGAGCATGATTCGGCCAAAAGAGAACCCAGAGGCTCCGAGTACTCGCCAGCCAGCCGAATTTCATGAGGCAGTGCGTGGAAGCAGACCATATCTACGTTCTACTCATAAACATACCCCGCTACAGGATCCGTCGGGTTCAATCAGACTTGTTACAATATTACCTAGTTGGTCAAACGAGATCACGATCAGATTTGACGAACACGTCTTGAGACCTCGAGCCCAGGATGATCACTTCGTGCAGAGTTTGGCCAAGATCAGGAAGAATCTGCCTGAGGGCTGGGAAGCGTTCCAGACTGTAAGTTGACAGCCATAGGGTTTAATGTACTAGCCAGAAATATCAGCTAGGGCTCAAGCATAAGCTCTCACATCCCTCTCTCAACGTCAACGCTTTGGCATTGCTTGTAGTCATGTACAGTGGTCTTGAGAGCTAACAACATGATACTCAGATAAATACCCACGAGACATTCTTTCGCCATATTCTGAGTGGCAAAACTTCTTACCAACTGCCTAACGCAGCTGAAAGCAGTTTCAAGCCTTCGAACCAAGATGTGCGTGATCTGCCGTTCCAATACGACGTTGTGTCATACGTGGTAAGTGTCGTCTTTCCGTCACCGAAATCTTCGTTGCACTTAAGCTAACTTCCTCGTCACCCTCGTAGCATACCAGATTTGAAGAAACTGTACCCATCTTCTTCGTATGTGCCGACCAGATCTCGCCGCTTCTCGTCAATACAACTGTATACACTCTCCTGCAAAAATGTCGGGATTTTGAAAATGAGAAACATGTATGGATGGACGCTCTTTGTCTTGAGCGAAGCAATGAGGAGGAAATGAATCAGCACATTCATCGAGTGCGAGACATCTATGATCAATCATACAGGACAACGATATGGTTAGGGGAAGGAGATATCAGGGCCGAACGTGCTATGGATGAACTCAAGGAACTTGGACAACAACTCTTGCTCGAAGCCGAGACTGGACTGTTGTCGAGCGCGCCGAATGCGCCGGCCAACGGATGGCACGATCCCGAGTTCGAACTGCCGTACTCGCGGAAAACATGGAGCGATATCGAGTTTCTTCTAACGCGTCGATGGTTCCGCAACATTTCGGTGGTGCGGGACTATCCTGCTCAGACCCGCGTTGAGTATGGGAACAAGAATATGCCCCTGCATCTCTTGATTAACGCCATCTACTGCTTATACTCAAAAAAACGAGACTTGTCTGATCTACAAAAGGAGCTAGAGCAAGCTATAGGAGCAGTAGTTCGTCTGCCAGTGCTGTCCTATCCCAGGCTACTTCACCGCGCATCTACGTTCAAGCGGTGTACGGACCCTAGGGACAAGATCTACGGCACAGTTAGCGTCGCCCCTCGGAAACTCGCAGCCAGCATAAGCTTAGATTATGACGACTCGAATACGGAAGGCAATGTATATGCCAGTGCAATGCTCGCGCATGCTAAGATCACCCAGCGTTTCGAACTCTTCCACAATTGCTTCTTTGCGGAAGACATCATGTCTGATGATCCGTCGTGGGTTCCAAACTTCTGGTCCGAGATGCCCGGCGAAACGTACATTCCTGCTCAATTTGCAGCCTTTAGCTCGCGGGCTCATTTCACGGTGATCAATAGAGAGAAGACCCCGCCGAACGTTAACCCGAAATCGGATATCCTTCGAGTACTTGGACTGCGGTTTGCGGAAGTAAGCCGAATAAGCACTCCTTTGCCAGCCTGGACCTATAGATGGGGCGCGATCCGTCGCGTCAGGGAGTGGCAGCCTGACGATATAGACAGGGTCTACAGTCCTACGAACGAGCCGATGAGAAAGGCGTATGCCCTCACGCTCAACTGCAACATCACAAAAGAGCGTGAACCGGACTGGATGCTCACCTCGACGACTGCTTGGGTTGATCAGGATTTCGGTGAGCAAGCACTCTTTGGCCGCTACTCAGCAACGTCGTCGACGTCCGAGATCAGGAGCGATGTCTCGGACGCAGTTCAATGCTGTGGTGATCGTCTTTTCTTCCGCACCAACGAAGGTTATATTGGCCTTGGACCATCCAATACTCAAGCCGGCGATATCATCGCAGTATCCCTCGGTTGCTCTACACCCCTAGCTTTGCGACCGAGCTCCCGCGGCCCTGATCACTACACTGTTATTGGCGAATGCTTCATTTACGGAATACAAGATGGCAATTTACTTCTCGGCCCATTACCTCAGCCATGGACGGGCATAGCAGCCTGGGCTGCAGGCGATCGTCGTATCCTGAGCTTCTTGAACACTGAGACTCAAGGAGTCAGCGCCGAAGACCTGAGGTTATGTGATGATGATCTTGACGGGTGGGAGAGAACAACCAAGTTGTTAGATGGCGATGATCTGATAAACTATGACTTCTTTCGGAACAAGGAAACGGGTGAGCTCATCAACTATGACCCGCGGCTTGAACCGGAGAAGCTGGAGAAGAAGGGTGTGAAGCTGGAGTGGTTTTCGTTGGTATGAGTCCAACGCCAGGACCGTTGCCCTAGCTGGCGAGGCGGTAAACAAGTCACTAATACTTTCACATTCATGCTGTCAAGTCGCTAATAATTTTAAGCTGAGCGATTCCAACGACAACATCAAGCTGCTACCACCGAATTGTATGAGTGCTTGCTGATGATCATAGTATGTCTAGGCGTCATACAGCAAACTTGCGCTTCTGCGCCAATCCTTCCAATGCACCGTCTATTTGGAACAGCGGTGGAACTCACTTACCAAGACCGAAGGCGCCGGTTCCCCCATACTTATCCTTATATACCTATATACTGTTGCTTGCAACACCAGATCGATGGATACAATTACGTGAAGGCATGAAATGCTTCTGGTGGTCTAGTCACGTTACCCAAAACAGCCAGGTGAAGGTGAAGGCCAGGGTGACTTCGACCTTGTTGTGGCAGACACTAGCGGGGACGCTAGGGTGTATATAAGCACTCACCTCAACACCGGACTGCTCTCCATCCTCTTCCAACACTCACGTCGCAGAGCACTCAGCACAACATGGAGCCCGTCATCGAACCCCCACACCGCTATGCTTTCAGCTTCGCTCTCATCGGTGTCGAGGCACCAGCTCTGCAGGATCATACACTACTTCGCGTACAGAATTGGAGCTCGAGCGCAGCAATTGTGGGTCGACGGGTTGACAGAACAGCAGAATCATCATCAGAAGAGACAACGATGGCGGACAACGACCAGAAAGATATAGGTCTTTGGGTCGGGGTTCGACCAGCCAGGGCCGATGTGCTGCGCCAACAAGCTGCCAAGCCTGTTGGTAACGACACCGAGGCACAGGCAGCTCTCGCCATAGTCAAGAACATCACGATCAAAAAGGGTTCATCGGTAGAATCAGTCATGCGCCTCAATGACCTTCCAATCTGGCCGCTGAAGGATGGCATGACACGGGTGGTAGTCCGGCACAACTCTAGGCAAGCAGACCGTCTGCTGTTCTACGAGCTGATCAACCGCGACCCGTTGACCAATGTAAGTTTACTCCGCTTCAATACAGGCTGTAATAGACGGTCTAAACGATTCGATCGCTTACTCTCATCAGCTATGTGAAGCACACCCCATCGAGGCTCAGGACTGCTTCTTCTTCCGTCGGTACCGAGTCGACGAGTTGTCCACATGGGTTGACCGTCGAGACAAATGGACTCAGGTGATCAAGGAATATCTCGCAGAACACTTCAACACGCCTCCCAAGAACGAAGGCTTCCGCCCTGCAAGGTCACATGCGCGTGTTGAGTTCCCGCTCGAGATCAGCCAGAGCATCGACTTGCAATCGATGGCCAACCAGTACGCCGCGACGGGCGCTCCTTGGCTGTTGGACGCGATGGAGCGAGCGGTTTTGAGGTCAGAAGACGACTTCAAGGATGCAGAGATACCTCAACTTATCGCCATCTACCGTCTCATAGATCTGCACCACGAGTTCGAAGACGGCGACGCGAAAGAGGCTCACCGCTGGCTCACGGTACGTTTCAACCGTAATGCACGGTGTAAACATTGCTAACACTCACAGGACATGTTTCCTGGCCTAATGAAGACCGGCACATTGACACCCGAGAACGTCTCCAAATACGCAGCATACCTCCGCGACACCGAGACCCGCGTCACTTACGGCGACATCCGCACAGGCTTGGGGGCGTACCTCTGTCTGCTAGATGACAAGACGTTTGCTACAGCAGCCACCAATTCTGCGATCGCCAAAGAGATTGCGCTGATGCGCCTTTTTATGCATGAGGAAGTCCAGGGACCGCCTCCAAAGTGCACCAAAGTGAACACCAACCTAGAGCACTGGCTCAGCGACCACGTCAGAATGATGCAACGCATCGTGGACGCGCATGCCGACTCTCTCACCGGTATTGTCGACTACCACGGCACAGCCGCATGCCCCGATAACCTAGATGACCTCTGGATGAACGCCGGAAACTCGCCTGATACCGACGGAGCGAAATTCTTCGCCTTGCAGGCCAGCCGGTTCTTCGCCAAGGAGATTATCGCAAAGTACGATGTCACGACCAAGAACATCGAGAAATACATACAGATGTGCAAGCAAGCGCTTAAGGACCTTGCTGCTGGGGGCGACGAACCTGCTGAGAAAGAGGAATGAGATGAGGAGACGGGCTGAGATGAATGGTCAGTGAGTGGCGGACGGGGAGTAAGGGTTGACTTTGGAGCAACGGCAGTATTGAAGGCTCTATTCAGCTCTATTTCGAGGGCGATCAGCTAGTGATAGCTGAAGCATTCATCTAGTCATGCAATGATTATGAAGATCAAATTTGAGGCACCTCTACCCTTTCCTTGTGTTTGCACCGTGTAAATTCTCTATGCTCTGCCAATGTGTCTTCCTCGCAACGCGAATGTGTATTAGTGTCGTAGAATCACTCACAAACGACAACAAGCAGCATCTTCACTCTCAAAACTACTTACATCGTTGTAAGGTCGCTAACAGCTAGTTGACATATATACGAACATCATGAACGATGGAAAGGGCTCTTGTTAGAAGACGTCCTTGTTCTGGGTATCCTTTGGATGGTTGAACATCCGATTTACACTAGGGAACCTTGTGCACCGGCACGATACACTACTCTTGAGCTCTCTGCTTTATTGTAATCGACGAAGATCCATGCCTTACGCTGCTTACAGTAACGACAACGTCTCCAGACCTACTGCCGGAACGTATCACAGCTAAGGCTCGCCCTCGCCATGTTCTATGAACATTGCCGTTGAAGGAATCCAGATTCTTATAGTACGCAGACCCAAGCGCTGCCAGAGTGGCATCTCCATGTACCTCGACGGTAAGGGTATCGTCGTCGTTCATCTCGATGTTTCCCTCCTGATCAGCGAGTTGAAGTTCCAGGTACGCTAGGTCTTGTCTGTCTGCGACAAGTTCACCGGACTTCTCGTTGACAATCCTAACTGAAGCAACGTCAGCGGAGCGGAGCGTGGAGCGCGAACGCTCCTGTCCGCCAGAGTATGCAACAGCAAGAAGTTCGCCAGGCTCGTAAGCTGTCGAAAATCTAGCGGTGTATCTGTTGGCTTGGTTGCTACTTGCGCGCCCAAGCGAGCGGCCATTCAGGAAAAGTTCTGTTTCCTCTTCCTGAGTGATGACCTCAATGTAAGCCTTCTGGCCCTCACAACCCTTCCAGCCCCAGCCCTCGATCGCATCGGAATCTCGCCAGGGCGTCGCCTTGTAATACAAGTTAGAGACGTCCAATGGACGTACCGCAATTACGGGTTGAGACAGGAGTTTCCAGCACGCTTGGGCTACGAAAGCCGAAGCATTGGGCACGCCAGTGATGTCTAAAGCGCCGCAACCCCCTACTAGATGTGGCCAAGGCTTGTACAATTTTATAGGGGTAAACCTGCTTGCCTCATAGTCGTGCACACCAATGCCTACCTCGCCAAGGTAGTCCCATCCAGTCCACATGAAGTCTCCTATCAGGTTCGGAATCTTTTCAACGTTGGACCAGTTCCTAGGAAGATCAGGTGGACAGGTTTCGGTACCGAGCATCATCCTTGAAGGGTGTAATTTGGCATCTGATTGGTACCGGATATCTCCATAATTGTAGCCCGCAACATCCATGTACGAATAGAGTCTGCTGGTCACAACATTGGTGTGATTGAACTTTGGGATGTACCGCATGAATGAGAGGAACAGGCTGGCGATGATGTTGAAGAAATCGCTAGAGACCAAATCTCCCAGACCGCCTTTATTATCTGCAGGAGGAGTATTTGGATCCCCCGGCGGGACTTTCGAAAACATCATCACGGCCAGCGTAAGGTTAACCGCGATAGTGTTAGGGCGGGATGGATCCAGCTTGTGCGTGAGGTCCAGGAGCTTCTTCGCGATCGTGTGTCCGTAGGCGGTTTTTGGCTCAGTGATCTCGTTACCCAAGGAGTACATAACAACTGAAGGGTGGTTACGAGCTCGTTCCACAAGAGAAGCGACTTCGTACTCCCAGCGTTCGTTGAAGGTGTTGGAATCGTCATATTTAGACTTTGCCTGGTACCAGTAGTCGGCAAACTCATCCATGACGTACATGCCTACCTCATCACATGCTTGTAGAAGGACTTCTGAGCATGGATGGTGCGACATACGAATAGCGTTGAAGCCATTCTTCTTCATGATCGACACGCGCCGCAGTTCCGCAGCTTTGAACGATGCTGCGCCGAGGATACCGTTGTCTGCGTGTATGCAACCACCACGCAACTTCACAGTCTGGCCATTGACCAGGAATCCATGACCAGGCTTCAACTGCAGAGTGCGCAGACCGTACTTGAACTTATAGAGATCGCCGTTGATGACGACAGTGCAGTCGTAGAGATTCGGAGTCTCAGCGGACCATAGATCTGGGTTCGATAACTCGAAGTTTTGTCTCAGCTCAGACGTTGTCGTTTTTGTTGTCCACTGGATCGCGTTCCTTCCTCCTCTCGAAAGCTCGAAAGATACTTCAACGTCATCCTTCTTTTCGTTGTTGAGTAAGACCTCGAATGTGAGAAGAGCAACTCCACTGGCGGAGAGCGTTGCCAGCCTGATCCCGTCCTTGCAAAGCAGATTGTGGTTTCGAACCATGAGATGAACGCTGCGATGAATTCCGGCTCCAGTGTACCAGCGCGCGTTAGGTTGTTCACTGTTGTCGGCATGTACTTCGATGGTGTTCCTCTCGCCGAGCTTCAGGTAAGAGTCTACGCGAACCTCAAACTTGGTCCAGCCCGCCAGACAACCGCCGACTTCTGTGCCGTTCACCAGCACGCGACTGTGCCGGTAAACACCATCAAAACTCAAAGCGACCACTTTGGACTCCAGAGTAGTAGGCGCTTGCCATGTTTTGCGATACTTGTACGTTCCGCCAAGATAAAATCCGCCATGAGTTCCAGCGAGGGCGTCCTCTCGCCGCCCTTCTACCTGCATAGCATCGTGAGGAAGGTGTACTTTGCTCCAGCCAGTTTGTCCAGAGCGTTGGAAC